CTTCCAGAATATTAACTTACCTTAGGTTGATGCATCTCTATTGCACATAACCCCTAGAGTGTCTCTTCCACTTTAGAAGAACAAGAGTTCCATGTTCTCATAGACTTGGTAATGTATATCAAGTTTGAGTAAATAACCTACATCCTGTTTGAGAGAAACACCAGTCAAACACATTGAGAAAAATAAATTCTCAATACAATAATGTCAAAACATTATATCTGACATCTCTTTAAGAATCTTCCACTCTAGATTTGAGATTCTTCTTCAACAACTACTATGAAAATCTTGATAAGAATATATTCTCCTCCTTAATAGCAGCACAGTATGTGGTTAGTGCATACCCACACAACTCTTTCTCTGTTGTAGCTGAAATTGTTCCACCTGAACAGTATCACATATACTTGGCTTCTTTGATCAAAAGAGACTAGATGACAGAGAGAATGTCCTTGACATATGAACTTGAACTTCATATTCAAGAGACCTGGCTGAGATGACAAAACTCTAATGGAATTAGAGCTCAGCCTCTATACTTCTACTAACTTGGATCAGAAATAAATTGAACCAAGAAGTAACCACTCGGTTGATCAACATTCAACCAGTCCATCAATCTAAGAAATGTTTTTCTAAATAAAACATCTTAGATACACAGCCCAAAGGCCTCCTCTTTCAGATCAGGAGTAGGTTCCAAACACATGTGATCGACACACATTTTTTTAGCACCCAAAGCATATGTCAATCAACAGGAAGCTGCATACCAGCTGACATGATGTCCCAACATCTGGTAGGACATCAGTTCCATTCTTTTGAAACACAAAACTGAGCTTGGTTCTGAAGCCATTACTACTTCCTAAAAGACAAAACATCCCTTGATCACCTTCAAGGTCTTCAAAAATAATCCAAGCTCCAGCTACACCAACAACAGCAAGACTCAAAGTCACTTTCCTAATTAGGTCAAGAATTAGGAAGACTCTTTTAGAAACCAAAATAAATGGATTTATCCTTCCTTCAATAATCTATCAAATAAATGACAGGTTTCTTGAAAAATACATCAACCACACACTAAAGTGCCTGTATGAGTGGACTTGAGAAATAAAACTCAAGTATCATTGATAACTTTAAAAAGATGGTTGAAACAGTCTTGCACGCTCTACAACATCACACACCAAACCTACCAAGGAGACCAAACCCTAATTCCCTCCTTTACTTGCGACACAAGGAACAAACAAGGTTACAATAAATACCATGCAGCGGAATGCACAAAAACAACAACTCCTCAACAGTCTTTAGGCACAAAATATTGCACACAATCACCACAACTCAAGTGCAATAGGTCAGCAAAGGTTTGAAAATAAATCAAACCCCAAAGCAGCTCACCACCAAAGCTACAAGCCTGATAACAACAGACAGGTCCAATACAACCTTGTCACGAATAGTCCATCCTCCACTTCAAGGGACCATTTAAAAACAATATGAATTATCCAAGTTCAAACATATTTTCAATATAAACCTTCTACCTTGATCATAAACCTGAAAGTATCCCCCTTGAATCTCATCCAGAAACAGACTGGATGCCTACTCTAATACCAATTGAAATTCTGGTATGACAGAACTCATATGTCCTATGACATGTTGAGACATCTTATCTGACTTAAACAACACATGCAAGGTATAAACATTAAAAACAATACCGAAAAGCATAAATAACACACCAAAATTGTTAATCAAGTTCGGAACAACTCTCCTACTCTGGGGACATACTAAGCCAGGGACAAGTCCACTATGATAGTATCAATTCATAGAACCTATAAAAAACACACCAGTTTACGATCTACTCACTTAATCACTACCCGTGTTATACTTCTATCTAAGACTCACTTAGATATGAGACCCTCCTCAGTCCTTCATAAATCACAGACAGTGATTGGACAAACAGAAAGACACATTTCCATGACAATACCTAGCCAAGACTCTTGACTAAGAACACAACTTGGATTTTCTTACAAGCTTCCTCCAAGAATAATATTCAACTCATTATCTACAGGTTTCTGAGTGAGAACGGAATCTTGAAATCCAAGGAACACAATTCAACTCACATGTCAAGTGGATCACACATACCAACTCCCCTAGAGAGTGGCTTACATACTCAGTCCTAATAATTACATATTTCTAATTCTCGATTGGTACCAATCCTAGGTTATAATACTTCTATTTATAACCTATACCCAACTGGATTTGGGCCTTCAAAACACAGCTCTTTGGCTGTTACAAATCAACAGAAACTTCTGCTACAAAATAGGTCTTCAATCAAATCTTCCTAAATCATCTCATCCTATTTAACATATTGTTTCTATATTAGTTTTACCAAACATAATGTCAACCATAAAAAAATAGAGAATTAACACATCTGGTTCAACATCTCTACACACTAGAAAACACAGCAGCAATAGCATGAAACATCATACTCTCCCTAAATAGTTTCATTCAGGAAACAACAACACTAGCTACTCACTCCCGCTTAGTAGTAGCACAGTCCTATCACAGTGTTAATCAACATGTCAAGACATATGATATAACATCAAGACACACACACTAAACTCAACACTTTACCCCCTCCTTTTAGTCAAAATCTTGACAAAAAGAAATAAAGTAAATATAAACAAAACACATGAAGACATATTGCACACAAGAAATAGACACACAACAAGGAAACATGTACGCAAACCATCTTAAAAGAAAACACACTTATTGCATAAGAAATACACATAAGTAGAAACCCACGCGAGCAATGGAAACACAAAACAAACACCAGTAAGGAAGACAAAATTACAATGACTGGTGAAACACATACGTTGTTGATTATCTTCAGGAGTTCCTCATTTTTTATCCCTGTTAAATAACCTTTTACACTCCCTACTTTTGTCACTGAACTCACTTGACATGAATACAGTAGAGGATAACTCAACAAGAGATTTTTCTTTGAATTCAGCCTACTTTGAATCAGCACTTTTATCCTTCTTAGCTTTCAGCAAACGAAGCTTTATAGCATCAATCTTATTCCAAGATTTGTTCAGAGAGAGAGAGAGGTTACCTTGCTTGTAACAAAGATTTAGTCAATGGGAGAATTTTTGAAGCAAATGTAGTTACTTTTACCAATAGTCCACCACTCACCACAAGAGAGATGCACTCTTTTTTTCTTCTACTCTTCCCAAGCTTTGACTACACAGTCTAGACTAACCAAACCATAACTGATTGGGCAATAAAGCTTACATGCCTCCTATGTTGTCATTGACTCAATAGCATATCAGCTTTCCAAAAACACCCTTCAAGATTTCAATCTGACTTGTATCCCAAGACTTACTTACCATGTCTCATAATATCTCCCCAGGGATCCCAAGCTAAGGAGAATACCTTTGCTCGCAGCAAGATCACTGACCGAACTAAGACCTGTATCAGTGAGCTTTGTCAAGTCAAACTTGCAAACTTGATTACATAGATTGTAACCAATTTTCCATGGTACAAATTCATAACATTCTCTTTGACATTGCATACAAAAACACTAAAGAGCAACAATTTCCTTCAGCATTAAGCATATCCTTAGAAAAGACTATGATACAAACAAAACTTGGCTGATTTAGGAGACAAGATTGCTTCCTAAGGACAATCATCCTACAATAACACTAACCTCAATGGATTTGTTCTTTAAAGTCCATAATGTGTTAATAGCTTCAGTCCAAACTACACATATTAAGGTCTCCTTAAATTCTGAATGCAAGATAGCATTAGATTTTAAATATAAAAACAAAATTTTAAAGACGCCACTCTGAGAAAAATGAATTTTTTCAAACATCGGTTGTTGATTCAATCCAAAGTATAGATCATGCAATTGATTCACTGATTGAAAGATGATTCCAACTCAAGACCATGGTGATGCATCAAATCGAAGGAGAACATAAAAGATCTTGTGCATTTGGTTTAGGGAGAGTGTCTTCAACAAACTTGTTTTTGTTCTTGGAGATCAAAACAATGTGAATTCAACAAGTCCAATAATGGTAGCTCTTGTTATCTAAGGGAGGTGAGACAAGTATCAGAGAAGGGCTTTCATTAAGATGAAGGTAGTGAGGTTTAGACGAATGGATAGAAAAATCACAGGAATTGTTGTTGATACCATGTTAAAGATGTAATTTGATGAATAAGAAACTCATCACATTTATTGAAAAGTGAGGAAAAGAATGAAAAGCCATGTAAACATCAATACAATGGTGATCCTTTGTATATGAAAAGATCAAGAGGAAGTTAGTTAACAACCTAACTAACTTACATAACTAACTAGAATAGCGTCTAACTAACTTCTAACTAACAAAGTTTAAGATAAATACAATTGTTAGGCTTTTACTTGTAAAGCAAATAACAGGTTATATTTAACAATATCATAGCATGAGTGATTTCTTACCTTCTGCTTCGCGTATTGTCATATGATCTATAGTGCAGCAGAGTTTTGGTTGTGACAAAAGAATGGAGTGGCAATGGAAGAAGTATGTTTTGAGTTATCTATAGCAAATATTAGATGTCAAATGTTTGCAATATTGGCCATTTGAACATGCTTGATGTATAGATGTCATTATTAGTATCTTAAGGACTTAAAGTGTTACTGTCGTGTTTTGAACTTTCTGCATATTTTCCAAGTTCATCTTTAAAACTCTTTGTTATGTGATATTGATGACCACCATGAGTGAAGTTTTTGATGACTTGTTGTACCATTACATAGCTATCACCAAGCTATACTAGTGAAAGATAATTATAACTAGTTTTGTATAGATGAACCTATTCATTCAAAGAAAAAAATTCAATTAATCTAAGCCAAAACTTCATCACAATGTCAACAAACATTTCAGTTTCTATAACTTTTTTTTTGGTATTCATTAGCAACAAACATTCCAATCGCTATAACCTTGTCACCCTATTGCACGCAATTAACCTTAACATGCTAGCTTCACCTCATATCAATACAACTGTTCTGAGGGTGTTTTTCTTTCAATCAAAAATGGTTTGAATGTCAACAACAATGCAAGTCCTTCAACAAGATTGAGCCCAAAGAAGACCAGATGAGGGCCTACAATTCAATGTACAACTATGAGTTTCGATTAATATAGACAGAAAGATAACATGTTCCTTAACTATAATGACTCCCTAGTTTATAAATATACAACACGGATACGACACTGAAAGAAAAATAGATGAGGGTCATACCCGGGAGGAAAGAAGCATGCATCCCTAGTTTTTGTGACCAAGTTAATCTGCATTTAGCAAGATCAAAGTAAGAACGTGACTTCAATTTGAAGTGTCAGTGCTACATAGCAATTAGAAAATCTTGAACACATAAAAGCCAAAAACGGATAAGCTATAATATCATAATAAGGAAATTATTTATAAGTCAAATAGAAACAAGAAAATCAAAGGGATACTCACATAGCACCCCCTGCCGCTGGACCAATTATCTTGCATGCAGACATAGCAGTTATGCAAATGCCATTTGCTACACCTCTTTGGTGTTGATCCTATTTTCAAAATCAACATGTCATTATCTTATTGCAATTCCATTAAAGAAAAACTTATATAAAAAGTCTGAAATAAAATCATACCACTGCTTTATTTTGCAGAATGTATAAACCAGTAGAAATTACTTCCTAAATCCATCAAAAAGAATACAATCAAGCAAGTTTAACGAAGATAAAGTCTTCGAATAAAATTAAACCTTCCTTTCGTGTTTTAGCAAAGTCAACTCACAATGAAAAGATTCTTTAGAATAGCAGCACTATATATCGATATGTTCAACGTAAAGCCAGACAACATTGTCATGAAGGGGAAGCTTTGCAAGATTGGTATCGATAACACCTATAAATATTACGGTGAAGACATTATTTAAGAAATTAAACAAATAATGAAATGCGGAATCTGAGTTTTTATTACTATAAAGGCTGAATACTAACCCCTGCGATGCGAGCAAGGACAATAGGTCCACAAATTTTTTGGACCGATTGATATATGCCAAGCTGGAATATTATAATAGCTACACCTGAAAAATTAACCAGTAAACAATTTAGAAACATAGCAATACAAATCCAATTGGAAAAAATTGAATATGGTTCATGTTTATGCAGATTCATAAATGTGAAAATGTACCTGCTAGTGCAAGAACACTCCCAACATCATTAGTTTCAAAGTTCAAACCGTCCAACCTTCGAGGACTAACACTCCATAATGAGAAAATCTTCAAAAGTAAAATATAGAATAAGAATTATAGATGCGCGGATAGATGAATAATAGAAGCAGAAGTGAGTCATAGTAATACCTCAATAAAAGCAATGTCATGAATTGCGAAAACACAATAAACAATAATAGATGACATTAAGGGCCAATTTCTTAGAAGGCTTTCATCTTTTTGGATCATCTTGTTTTTGTCGGTCTCATTGGTTCTATTTTCCAAAGCTTCAGTTTTGTGGTTATGAAGTGTCTCCTACATTGATGCAGATATTTTATTGGTAGGAGAAATAAGTCGTTATCATAACTTCTCCCAAACAACTTACAAATACTTATGTCGGTAGATAAATTCAAATAAGTTATCAATCGCACATGCCTTAAATATATGTGATTAGTTACCAAATATGTTAGAATTTAAGGTTCGTACCTGTAACCAAATGCAGGAAATTAGAACTGCAAGTGCCATAGCTGATACAATGAAGCAAGGTAGGAAGTATGGAAACCTGTAAAAATGTTTAAGTTTTGGAAAAAGAAACTCAGTACAACAACAAAGTAAAAAAACAAAATAAAATGAAGAAAAAAACACTTACTTATCCCAAAAGGAATCCTTTGGAAATATATTTGGATATTTTTGGACTGGCTGTAAAGAAAAATCACAAACTATTAGTAACAAAGTTTTCATTTTTTTTTTCCGATAATAAAGAATTGAATTTCAGAGATCAGTCTCCTCAATACAAAAGCAATGATAGTGACACGGACACCAAACACAACACCGACTTATAGACACCATTAATAATTAAAAAAACTAACAAATGCCGAGCAACGAACATGTCTTCAATTTGAAGTGTTAGTGGTATATAACTTGCAACACAAGCTATCTTAGGCCCATGTTAAAAAGTGATTTTTTTTCTAAAGTACTTTACCCTAGAAGACAGTAGGAACAAATGAAAAAAACAATTACCTGAGCCAAATAGCCTCCCAATGCTGGTCCAAAGGCCAAACCAACTCCCCAAGCAGCTGCAACCTAAAATCATATCTTAAAATACTTTTATAACAATGGAGATGTGATTCAAAGAAATGCGAGACACAAAGGTTAGTGAGGCTTACCGTTGATTGTCCTAAAGCTTGGTACTCTTCTCTAAATATTTCAGAAGAATAAGCCTATTATGAAGGAGATTATGAAAAAATAAGTTATATAAATAACATGAGATATTCAGATATTCAAGTATACAAATTCCAACGTTTTGTTGTGTTAAATGTTGATTGATGATACCTTCATTGGTCCAACCAAACCATTTAAAGCTCCAAGAAGAAATCTCATTATAATAGCCATCCTAAAACTTGTGCAAAGGCCAAATAGTGTGTTGAAAATTACACTGAAATCAAATTAGCATCATTGACATAAGTCAAATAGTGCATTCTTAAACTATTCAACAAAGGTTATAGAAATAAGCTAAAACCAACTTTTTGACATATTAGAAGCTGTTTCCATAAACTCTCTCAGATAATAGTATTTCAATTTACAAGTACTTACACAGAAATAATTCCTATAATGACAACAGGTTTTCGACCGTAGCGATCGGCTACCATTCCCCACAATATGGAAGTCAATGCTCTTCCAACCATGAATGCAGATCCTATAAAATTATCATTCATACATATGACATGGTATCATTATAAATCTTGCAAACACAGAATACCAAATTTGCATTATTTTAAATCTTATTTTCACTGGTCTCTATCATTTTTTACACAGAAACTATAAAATATGTGAAAGAATATTTTACCTACATAACCAGCATAGGAACTGATATCTTCTTCAGTTTCAGCAATATTAAAATCTTTTACCTGATCATATATTAAGAATATATATTATCTACAACACTAATTAAGACTATTGAAATTATAAAAAATTGTGAAGATTTCATAAAAGTTAAAGATCACTCACCATGAAATAAAGGTAGGGAAATAGAGAAGCTATAGGAAGAGCTGTAAAAATATCACACACAAAGCAATAACAAAAATTCATTAGAGTATGAACAATTTCAATGATAAAAGCAGTTTATGAAACTACATTAAGTTGCTTACTGCTGCATAAAATAACAATCCATATAGTGAAAACATTTCTGAATGTAACATCCTGTTTCAATTCCTTGGCTTGATCCACCTTACAACCAGGACAATTTTCATGATAGTAGTGTTTCTTCAACAATGGCTGATCTCCATAGTCTTCCATGTTTATACTTACCACACACAACACAGCTTCACTTGTTGTTTGTTTTCTCAGAGAAATATCTTTTTATATGCATGAAACTAGCAATGTGTGGTAAAATGAAAATTACTACAATTTACTTTCTTTTTTTTTTTGGTTGGGAAGGAAAAAGACAAGGTTATAAATAATATAGCCTTACAGGTTAAAAAAGTTTACAACTTTTGTTTTTTCCATAATTAAATACTTAAATAATAGAGGAAAGATATATAAATAATATAGGTAAAATCTACTAGTTTTATTTTTTTAATAATTTATTTTATTTTGTGATAGTATATGAATATGGGAATGAATGTGGGCTCGAATGAACACGATTCTAGTCCATGAATATGGATGTAGTAACTAGTAAATTCATGAAGAGCAATTATTATGATTTTACCAAACATTAATGAAGTGATAATGCCTTCGTATAATATAGGAATTAGTTTTTTATTTATATTAATTTATTTAGTTTAGTTTGTTATAGATTAACTCTATCAAACGCACAATTATTTGATGTTAAATCTTCTTTTTGTCTCCCAATGAGTAATTCATTTGTGAAATAAAATTTTCTTAAAACAAATATTTTTTTTTCAATTTCCAATGCAAGATTAATTATTTCTATCAAAGATAGTAGTGAATTACCTTATCAAGTGGATTTAGGAAGAGGCACTAGCAAATATCATAGCAGCGAAAATCTTAAAGTTTTTCAAAAGAAATATACTATCCAGGTTTAAGGTCCCCTAAGCCATCGTAATAAATAATAGAATGCAATTTATAGACAAAAGACTGAAAAGTTTGTTGGAAGAATTGAAGATCAAGCAACACTTCGCGTAAGTGGAATACCCCTCAACTAAATAATCAAGCTGAAGCAGTAAATCGGGTGTTAGCACTATGTCAAAACTGCTTTTAGGCAGTATATTTTAGACAGCGTTTATGTATTAAAGTGCTGTTATATGTCTCAATAAAATTTTAAATTTTAAAATTATATACATTAGACAACGCTTTATAAAAAAACGCTGCCTAAAGTTAAGAAAAAGTGCTGCCTAAGCCACAATTTAGACATCGCTTTATGAAAGCGCTGTCTAAGGTCAATTAAAATTGAAATAAAAAAATTTTAGAAAGTGCTGTTATAGGTCTAACAGTAAAAAGCGCTGTCATAAGTCCAAAGCGCTGTTAAAGTCACACATACCAAAGCGCTGTTATAGCTTTAAAATTTTTTGAGAAAAAACACTACTAAAGACTTATTTTAAAAAGTGCTGCTTAAGGCCATACATGCTCACACTATAAAAAGTGCTTCTAGAAAGCGCTGCTAAAGGATGTGTTTAAAAAGCGCTTCATATAAGCGCTGCTATAGGCCATACATTAGAAAGCATTTTTTTTAAAAAAAAGCACTGCTAAAGTAAATACATCAAAAAGTGTTGCCTAAGGTCATTAATTTCTAATTTCTAAATTAAAAAAACGAAAACCCTAAAACTCAGATTGTTTCCATATTCTCTCAAAACATCTTCCTGCATGCGACTTCCACCATCGTGATGCCCTTCTACTTCTGGTTACTTCATCATCTCTTCGATCAACTTCAGACTGCACAACCTTCTCCGCCTCTCCAGCTCTTCAACGATTAACACCTTCTCCTTCGTCGTGGTTCGCAGAATCAAACACTCTCCCTTGTTCAACAAGCTCAACTATTTTCTCTTCCCTTCAACCTCTACTCAACTCAGTCATTATTCTCAAAAATTCCTCTCCACAAGTAACAACCATAAGTCATCTGGAACAACTCCCTTAATTTAGTTCGACAATAAATTGTATCTTCAACTGTTCTGATCATTTCGACATTTCGGTAAGTTTCTATTTCTTTTGATTTGAGTTATTGTCAAGTTTCTGTGATGAATAGTTGTTACAAATTTTAGTTTGAACTGATATGTTGACCGATCTGTGAAAATATCGATTTGATTGTGTGGTCTTTTCAATTCGAAATGATATGTTGTTTTATTTTAATCTGATAAAATGATTCGTTAGCCTTGAATATGCTAGTTCTGTTTTATTTTTGAGCTCGTTGGTTTGTGTCGATATATGTTAAAATTCTGCGTAATTGTATTTTCCTGGTTGTGTTGGAGTAGGGTGTTAGCCTTGTATCGATACTTTGTTGAATTTGAAGAGGATTGACAAATGTTGCGTTAGTTTGGAGTGTTATGTTAAACTGAAATATTGAAATTGTTATGTCGGTAACACTTTTTGTAGCGTGAAGATCATCATGTTGGTATTTGGTATCGAAACTGGATATCGAAATTCATGTGGACGTTATGTTTTGTTTGTGTTGAATCCGCAAGGTTTTCGATTTTAATGTGTAACGACAATACTGCTCTTGATTTTTATGTGGAGTGAAGTTATTGTATGTCATGAATTAAATCTACAATATTAGCTTAAGCAAATGACCAATCTATGTCAACACTAAAGATAGTTCCAAAGGTATATACGTCAAGAAAATCACGAGCAAATCCTAGACTACATATATGAATATTTTACTACACAGTATACTATGATTTGCTAAAATTTGCTAAACATATCATACAATTCCTTATTATCAAAGTTGGACTCGTATACAGAAGCTTCAATTTTAAATCCAAACCCGAAGCTTGACATTCTATAACCATACATACCATATTACCATGCCTATTTACTAGTCAAGTTAGATTTTAGCATAAGATCAATGTGTGGCAGAGCACTGAAGAATCTTTAATACAAAGCAGAAAAATTTACCACTGATATGATAAGTAACAAATGCTTTTGTACAATAACGCTAACAAGCAAAACGTTAAATAAGAAAATGTAGAACGACAGAAGGCAAATCGGTTTTTTTCTAAAACATCTTTGGGTAACCATCAAAAGAGGAAAGATCATAGCAATAAAGAAGTGATGGAAGAGTTAGAAAAATTTAAATCTAAAGTTCATGATTTGGAAAGGATAAAGAAAGATACATGTCAGAAAGGCAAGGTTTAAGGTTCAAGGATACTAGTGACAAAGATAATATCAATTGTGATTTCCAACAGAAAATTCCTGTGGTAATATATATTATTATGAAGTAGCACAATTTTTTAATTGACATATATACACATTAACAATTTCATATTTATTATTGGTTTAGGGCATTTCACCTTGTCAGCTCTATTTATCGTCACTGAATTATCGCATGGTTGGCAAGGGAAAAGTGCATAACACTTTGAGAGAAGTACTTTGCTATAAACCGCTCCCTGCTGAATTTTTGAAAGTATCAATTGATATTGCTTTAGAGAGGGATGCGCCATTACCTTTACCTGACAATATTTCAGATGCAACATTGGTGGGAGTAGCAATAAGATTGTATGTTGCATGACCGTTAAACCTCATTTGCATATATGATGAGATATGTTGAAAACCATTATGAATCTTTGAGCATTCAAATTTTTTACGACCATTTAACGTACATTTTTTTCAATGTAATGTTAGACTCTTACAAAATTTAAATCAAAAGATAAGGGGATTACGTGGTAAACCGAGTCAGTTGCATCCAAAAAAGAGGTACATTGATATATATACATAGAAAATATTAATTCACGATCTTATACTTCACCTAACTTATATGCATTTGATCTTTAGATTCATGCTAAAGAGGTGTAACAAGTCAGTAGGACTAAGAAGCCCGAAATTGGCAACATGTCCACACAAAAAAATGATGTTGCAAAGACCGCGGCTAGAAAAAAGCCTACTTCTCGGTATAGGTCCTGCCTTCAGACATTAATAGGAATATCAAATTTTACTGACGGAGGTACTCGTAATATACCTATGGAGGAAGGTATTTTTGATTTTCCTATTATTAAACAATTAGTAAAGAGGATATGGATCAAGTTTTTGGACATTCAGAATTAGGCATCGGTGTTATCGATACATAAATTAGGTATACTCTGATCAACTTTATTTAATTAATTGAATAATTTATTTACTCATTTCAATGAATAGTCTTAATGTTAATGATATTTTTATTTAAGGTTCATGTATAACAATTTTGATGCGTATGAATCGATTGGAACAAAGATTCTATTTCTTATCTCCCAACAATATCAACTCACAATTAATCGATCAAAGACTATATGAAGTCAACGAGTACTTTATCCGTGCATTTATGGCCAACAAAGATACAAAAAAGTTTATTTTTACCATTTAATACTAGCAATGGGTTAGATTTTCATTCTAACTTCATCTATTATAATTTTTTCGTGCTTTGACGTTGTGTAGAAAGTTTCCATCTAACCTTTGTTAATCTTATAGTGGACACTGGTTGTTAGTTGTGATTAATCCTATAAGAGAAATTGTATATCATCTGGATTTGTTAGAAGGTGATTGGACAAAATATCCAGATATGAAGAAGATGGTTGATACGTAAGTTAGATTGTTCTAAATATTCGTTTGTATATTTATTTATCTGAGATTGTTCTAAATATTCGTTTATATTTTGTTAGAGTTATACAAATTTTTCGATCACAAAGAGATACTCAAGTACCAAAGAGTAAAGCAAACAACATTACATGGATCAGAGTGCAGGTATATTTTCACAATTTTAATTATATTAGTGATGCTACTTGATAAAACAAGTTAAACTATATATCCTGATATATATTCGTATTTTTTTTCATGTGTAGTATCCTCGTCAGCGTGATGGTATAGATTGCGGTTATTTCATCTTGAGGTTTATGAAAGAAATTATTCTTTTGAATCAAATATAGATTCCAACCATGGTATGGGTTTCTAACTTATGATTTATTTTAACACATTTCATCTAATTAATTAGTTTTAACTAAATCATATTATGTTATGTTATGTAGTACTTTGATGAATACAAGTCTTCTACTTACTCGAAAGATCAATTGGACGAAATTAAGGAGGATTGGTATAAATACATTATTAAGATGAGAATTTTATAGGGTATTGTGACACTTTCATTGATGAGAATTTTGAGTATATATAAGTTTGAGTTTTAATGAGATACTATATCGTCATTAGTGGGGTAAATTGTGTTGCAATGTTGTTGTTGTTATGTGGAAGGTTAGTTATGATGGTATTGGATTTAAATTCAAATAAAGTTTTGTTTGTATCATGGTATGAATTGGAGAATTTTTAATGGTGGATTATAACAAATTTTTGATTTGTTTTTGTTACATTGGTTTGTGTTAAATTATAGTAGTTATAAGATTTAAGTGTTATATAGCTTGGTTCTAATATGCCTTTGTTGATTTTGTTTTAGGTAGGTGCATATGTAGAAGATATAGAGATAACAACTTCATTTAGGATTCTTCATTGTTGTTGTTTGTAGAGAAGATAGCAGCTCTAGAAGATAGTAATATGTACATTTGCATATATATATCAAAAACTAACAGATTTAACTATATATATATATATATATATATATATATATATATATATATATATATATATATATATATATATATATATATATATATAGAATTTAAGTAAATATAAATTATTAGATTAAAGTTGTATACATAAATATGTAAATTTGATGCATATTTATTGGATTGAAGCTGCAAATTTATGAAATCTGGTGCAAATTTGAAAGACAACGTTTATTTTAAGTGATTATTTATAGAGAGCGCTTAAAATATAAACAGTATATATTAAAAAATTTGTGAATATTAGACAGCGCTTTAAACAAAAAAGTGTTGTCTATACTGGGGAATAGAAAGCGCTTTTAAAGAAAGCGCTTCCTAAAGGGGTGCTTAGAAAGTGCTTCTAAAGTAAAAAGTGATGCCTAAAAGGGATTTTAGAGAGTACTTTTAAAGAAAGCAGCCTAAAATAGAATAAAAGTGAACAAAAATATACATTACACAACGCTTATAAAAGCATTGTCTAAAGTGAAAGGGGTGCTTTAGAAAGCGTTTTTGATGTAAAAAGCGTTGCCTATATGGGTCTTTAGAGAGCGCTTATTGAATAAAGTGTTGCCTAAAGGCTACATTAAGAAGCGCTTTTAAATTGACAAAAAACGTTGTCTTTACTTACAGTAGCGTAGGAATAGGCAGCGCTTTAAAGCGTTGTCTATGGCAAAAAAAATGTTGTTTATTCCCTTATATGGCGTAGTGTAGTTAGAGGACTAAAACAAATACTAGAGGATGCCAAAGGCAATTAGGATGACGAATTTCCTCACGTCTTATAGTTCTATCGTGCCACCCTAAATCGACTACAAGAGAAACCACATTCTAACTCACCTACAACGTAGAAGTGGTCATTACAGTATAAATTGAAGAGCTGAATTGGAGGACAGCAAATCATGTACCAGCAGAAAATTAACGGCAAGGCCAAGAAAGTGGAAGTTGACCTCCTAAAAAAAGAAGGATCTAAGTCTCTTTTACCAGTTTCGTCGTCAAACAAACCATGACTTCTAGGTACAACCATCACGTTGGAACAAGAAAAATCTATATCAGGGATTTGTTTCTCAGGAGAATCGACATAGGAGGGAAAAACCCCCTAGATGGAAAGCCATCAGTAAACTAGGAAGGGCTCTACCAGGTGCGGGCCAGCACCGGGAGATAAGCATACTTCTTATAGTTCATCGGAGGAGAGCGAGTACCAAGGACTTAGATCGTTCCTAAGCTAAAGAGCAATTATATTTGAAATATATTTTTCTTTCCATTACTTTGTTTCAATGTAATAAATTATCTTCATTATAAATGCAAATGCTTGTCTGCCATTTTTCTTTTGCAGCATGTTTTCATGTCTATCTCTCTTTTTGGACGCTAAAGGTGGGGAAAATAAAGATTGCATGCATTTATGTGTAGATGATGTATCCCCCCTCTTAGGTCTAGCCAATTCAAGGGTGTTTAGTAGTGGAACTATTACACATCCACATTGATTTAAGTCATACCTCAAGGGTATGGATGAGGAACATACCCTTTCCCAGGGAACAGTCTTTTGTGACAGGGATCACAGTCCAAAGATATGCCCATGTATTGTCAGTCTCAGGGTTCTGAGCCTCACTAAGAGAGATGGAAACAACATTCTAATACAACGAGTGCTAAATACAACATACAAATAACACACTAATACAACAAGTGTTAAATACATAACATAAACTATATGTTAAAACAAAAATTACTATATTGAAATAATGATTCTAATGTTCGCTCTATTTACTATATTGAAATAATCAATACTAAATAGAGAGAACATTACAATAAGTATCAGTTATACATTAAACAACATGTTACAATAACTCAGGATCAAATAGAGAAGAAAGAGTCATGAAAATTCTGAAGGTAGGGCACGGGAGACTCCAGTTGACGCAAGACATATTGAAAGGCATCCTCTTTCATGTCATCCTTTGAGATAGCCCACAACTGGTTTGCTTAAAGTGGCCCGCTCCTGGTAGAGAACCTTTAGCTCCTTATATTAGGCGACCATCTTCTTCCCATGCTCCGACCTGACATTCAGGGCAACAGAAGACGAAGTCTCCTACTTAAGTCCATGTGATGAGTTCCTTGCTTCCTCTCCTCAAGTTTCTTTTCGAGCTACATTATGCGGTCGGTCAATGTTGCAGGAGACTTGTACACCTTCACTTCCTCCAAGAAAGAAGAAGCTTCATCAAAAAGATTGAGAAACCCAAAAGAGTCCCTTTCGAAATTAACATCTTTCTCCTTAACTAGAGTATATTAAGTCTTCGGATCCTCTACCCTTTGAGAAGACGTGTTGGGGAAAAGAAGTTCCTTGTGGCTGGTAGCAAGCTGATTCAAGAAGGAAGTCGCCTGAAACACCTGGTAAGTTGACTCTGCCAATAGGAAATATTAGCCTACCTTGGAGAGTTGGCGGATATGGGTGTAATCATTGACAGACACACAATGTTGCATCTCCTCTATGGTTCGAGGAAAGCGACCAATCAACACAAGTGGAAATCGAAGAGGGGTATTTCCTAAATGGATAGAAAGAGCATATATTGACCACTTTGACTTCTTTTCAGAACTTCCTCGGTTTACCATCGTACCATAGTCCTTTTTTAACTCAGATCGCAGTAAAATGGTCATGATTATTTTACTCTGACCTTCTGAGGGCGTCGGCACAACCAAGTGAGCCCCGACATCTTGCACAGATACGGTACGGGAAGAATAAGTATCCTTCCTCTTTAGGGCATATGAAAACAAAAACAAAAGTCAATAGATAAGAAAGGGAATGAGCTCATAGACCACAAAAAAAGTAAGAAAAATAGGGATACTAAAAAGCTTTTTCCTCTTGCCAGTAGATTATGCCTCTCAACAATGTATCTCAGAACTAGATAAGAAAAGTAGATTCTCTTTCATGGACTTCTCCGCATCAGTAAAAGCCTCATACGAGAAGGAGTAAACCTTAGAATTATTTGTGAAGTACTGGTCTGGGGACCAAAATTATCTCATTCGATCAGCACAAGCGGTCGGTTCTTCAAATGCGGGTGAGTGATGTAGAATTCATCATGAGAAAGGGGTGAAAGGGGGGTAATCAAGAAGTAATCCTCCTTTAAATCCTTCCAGCTCTCCGTATAGACACAAAATAATTGATTTATGGCACGATAGAGTGAAACATGCTCGTAACTGTCGCTTGGGGATAACCTTTAAGATATGAAAGAAGATGTTTTAGATGTCGAACCTATGTATTCTTGGTATTTATACCAATATTGAAAAACCCTCGCAAAACCCCAAGGGCTTGGATGAAATTGTGAAGGAGGAATGCAAATATGGTGTAACACCTCCTTTTTAAAAGTAAACAATGGAAGTCGGACACCCAACTTCCTAAAGAATTAGTCATAGAAGTGAATAGAACACCCTTTGAATTTGTCACACACCCTTTTGTCTTCAGGTATCGTAGATATTTCCCAATCTTAAAGGGATCCTTCTTCAAAGGTAAATGTCGCCTCATTAGCTTCAGAGGAGTAACTAGAAGGTGTTTCCAAATATCTTTGGGGTTATCCAAGAATGGTCCTCTATGAATGTTGTCTCCATAAGAAAAATCAAACTTGGCATCTGTAGTACAAACCAATCAAATGGGTTAGCAATAACAAATCTCTAAGGAAAAGGGTTAGCCTTGAAATATTGAATAAAGCAAACTCGTTCCCACAAATGATGAGACAATAATGCACCTGTAAAAGGGAAGGGGAGAGCGACAAAACACTCGAAGTTGGAGCAAGAGAGTCATTTGCAAAGGCTCGAAAAGAAGATGTAGTCGAAAGGCCGTAGGAGAGTGAAAAGGAACAATGAAGGAAAAACCCATTTTTATAAAAGGGCAATCGAGAATAAACGGTTCAGATCAAAGACTAGATACATATCCAAGAATTCTGAATACACAGACCCATCAAACAACACGAAGTATCATAGGTACTCAAGTAACCTAAGTAGGAGAATCATTCTCTAACCTCTATATCTAGGGTGACGTACTAGGAGCAGGCAACAAAACGCTTTGGTGATAAGAAAATATTTAATGTTTATATCCCCTATTACTTTTTCAACTGACGTCATGCACTCCGCCTCTAATTCACATCAGACAACGTCCTTGGAGGCCAATCAAAATTACTAAAGGCTTTCTCAACTTTCTCAGACAAAATCTTGAGAGAAACTATTTTGCACGGACTAAAAACCCATAGTCGAGGTCCAATTCATCTCAAATTCACTCCACTTAACCCAAAAGATAATTTTATAAAATTATTTTTTAAGAAAATGAATATTACAAAAATGATCTAGCTAGATAATTAATAGATTTTAATTATCATAAAATTTGATTTAAAATACTATTTAAAAATAATTATGTTTTAGATTTTACTTTTAAACTCTGAATTATTAAAATTTAAAATATAAAAAATCAAAACCAAATAAATTATACATATTATTCCCTCTATCTTACAATATATATTATTTTTCTTATTTTTATTTGTCTCGATTTATTTGTCCTTTTAAAATATCAATATGATATTTATTATTTCTTTATACTAATTTATATTTATTTATTATATTTTAAATCATGTAATTATTCAACTATATATTATTAATAAAGTTATTTTAAATAAATTATTCATTTTAACATTGAAATCAACATAATTAATTATTATTTTAAAAATGTAAAAATTTCAAAAAATACACTTTATACAATATAGTACGTCTCAAATGTATGTTTTTAAACATTTTTTTGAGACAAATCAAGATTTTAATCTCACATTTTTTAATTGTGTCCACCCGTCCATTTTTGTAGATATATATTTATCATAAAATTTTGTATTTTTACATTTAAATATTCAATGTGCAATTTTATTAAGTAAATATCAATTAATAATTGTACAGTAAAATTTAATTGTAAAATGGCCGGTTTGAATCCGACACATTTTATTTGTTTAAATAAAGCGACATTCATATGTTTAAAAGATTTTTAAAAGTAACATGAATTTTGAGCTCTTTTGCTCTGTCAACTAGTCAGCTTTACAACCAATACAATTATATATTATACTGTTATAAAACGACTGTTATTTTAATATAAAAAATTTATTTTAAAATTATTATCATTTTTACTTTTTAATATAGTAATAAATATTATTTTTTTAATTATATTTTTATTTTTTATTCTAGACATCATTTTTAATAATATTAATAAGATTAATTTTATAAAAAATTAATATTTTACGATAATATTACTATATTTTTTTAATTTTATATACAAAAACTTTAATGAAAGATCATTTTAAAACGATGGAAATAATAATTTTTTTTCAATAATATCATCTACCAATGTTCTTTGTTTTCCAAACCCTCTTTACCGAATCTTTCTTTTATTTGCAAAGCATAATAACAACAAATGCAATGGACTGTGACTAAAGAAAAAGTCATTATGGATCTGACATTTGCACATGATAAATAATAATAATAATAATAATAATAAATAAATAGACAAATTAAATCATGACAAACACTATGACAATTTGGTCACGGGAACTGTACACTGTTTATTTCTTTTCTTTATTGAATCAATTTAAAAATAATTAAAAATAAATTTATGTAAAAGAATGGTAAATTAAAAAATGTAATTGTATTGGTATTTATTTATGATTTCCCCCAATGTTATTTATGAAAAAGTTATTTTTTAAATTTATTAAACAATTATTGTATCTAATCTATTTAATAAGATAAATATAATAAATAAGGTTTGTTACATACATTCTAGATATGATTTATTTGAATTTTTTTATAAATAATTTAAATAAAAAAATCTCTTAAATAATTACTTTTTCAAAAAAATTATCAAATTGATCACTTTTCAAACAAAAAAATAAATCGCCACATAGAGGAGTAGCCACTCTGTGTGGCGCGTGCATGCATTTTAAAGAGGAAGTGTCACACTGCATGACTTGTCCTCCTCTGTAAAAGTCATACAGTGTGACACATGCATGTGTTTTCAGAGAGGAGGCGCCACTCTCTTTGGTTTGACAGTGTTATTGCATAATTTATTTTAAATAAAATAAAAGTAATTAAAAATAATTTCCATTAATATTTTAATATTACACAACGCATGGATACATTTTTTTGGACGTCCCCTCAATCTAAGCGGGCCCAGTATGACATAAACTACCCCGCCTTTGCCTCACCCCTTGTCTCACTCCTCTCTGTTGATTTTTCTGAGGTGTTTGTGGTCTGTTATGACTCACTTGATTATGAGGTGCTTGCTGTGATGGTCCTGGTACATCGGGATCATACATCTCATCGATCATTTTGCCCCACTGTGTTGTGCTTCCAAAGAAATTGGTGCCCATGTTGTTGAAGTTTAGTCTTGTTGGTTGGGATATGTGTGGGTCGGGTGGCTGATAGTATTGGGATGTTGAATCGTGATGGAAACGAAGCAACGATTCTTGTGGTGTACGAAATCCGTATGATGGATGGGTACTTCGATGGTGTGATGTTTGACTGTATGTAGGTTGGATGGTATGGTAGGAAGGAGATGTATCATATGTGTCTTGGGTGTTGTGGTAGGATGAGGATGGTGCATATTGTTGGTGGCGGGTCGGGTCATGCTCTTGGTATTGTGTTTGTGTGTGGCATGAATTGATGACGGATTTGGTTGAATGAGGTGGTGTATGGTTGTTGGGTTTAAGTGGGTTGACATTATGGTTGAGTTTGGTACTGTTGATGGGTTGGTTGTTTAGTTTGGTATTGTTGAGGGGTTGGTTGTTGGGTTTGGTATTGTTTAGGGGTTGGTTGCTGGGGGTTGTTGTTAGGCTTATGTTGCAACTCTTTGGCGTGGGTCGATCAAATATGTCTCTTGAGACATAAACCAATTTGTTGAAACTGATGTGTACCATCTCAAATATTGGAGTGTCGGTTTTAAGTCATCTTGCAAGATCGGATCCCTTAGGACCAATTCACGTCTATGCCTCCATTGACGACATTGATTTTTAGTGAAGTCTCTCAAATCGTTAAATCCCCATTAGCCGTCAACTCTGAGTAGATGCCATTGGCCCAAATATGTTGGAGGGACGGGAATACCCTATTGCATGCTGAACTGTAGCTTCACACGATCATTGTGGTGCATCTCTACAGTAGTGAACCAGATGAGTGTTGTTTTTGCAGTCCAGACTTCAGCATCAGAAGGGTTAATCTCATGGTCGAGATCCTTATACGGCCTCCATATAAATTGTAGAGGAAAAAAAATTATATAAAATATTAAACTTAATTAACTTATTGAATACGTTGTATAAAATATGTAATTTTAATACCTCTTCAGGTCCAACATGATCAATAAGATTTCGGTAGACTACTATTGCATTTCTAGGGGATTTGTTGTAATTCATCCCAGGAACAGACCACCTACATAGAAAAAATGGGTAATAAATTAATACACTGCATGTTTCGGTATATAATATGTAAAATTTATGGTTTTGTAATCTTACTTTGTAGCAAAGGGGAAGATAAATGGCCTTGTGTTGCGGGGGGCGAGTGTCGGCATTCTCAACCAGCACCATGTCTGGAGTAAAAAGGTGCAAGAATAGAAAGAACAACTATCGTTCGATGCATTTTTA